CCAAATACACAAAATAATGTTCTTTTTAGCAACATCATATGACCCCTTTAATACAAGTCACGCGCGAGTAAACTGTTCTCTCATTGGTCAAAGTTCCACGGTTTATTTTCCGGGATTCCACTTAGCTGTCACGGCGGTTATCCGTCAGGATGGAACGACAACAGCTTTATTTATTTTTTGTTGCTGTCCTTATTTATCATTTTGAGCAGGAGTCCAGGATTCATCGGGAAAACATTTTTAAAATGCACCTACTAGGAAGAAGAGCAATAAGACGGCATTATAAAATGAAAAAGTGCACTTTTTTATTTTGAATGGTGAAGACGTGCTCACCCACAGACATTCACAGGTTCATTTTGAGGTATTAGCAAAACAACAAAGCTAATGCTTTTCACAGAACTTACGTAATTACCCATTATACATTGTGATATAGCCTGGTTCGTTGGTCCGTTAGATCGGATTGCTTTCTCACTACAACCGAACCGCTCCAGAGTTCGTTTTCAATCGAGCCGAGACCACCTCGTTCAGGCGATCTCGGACCGATTGTTTTGGCGCGGATCCGGGCGCGATTACATGGATTACCCTCTGCAGGGACCGGGACTGATCAGCGTGCCGAGTCTCCCGGAGCTCAGCGCCATCCGCAGGGTTCCTCTGCCTCCGGAGCTCGTCGAGCAGTTCGGTCGTATCCTACCATACAGATGCACAAAATAAACCTTGCACAGAAAGTGTCTTGTAGAATTAATCCATTAAGGGTGCTTTCGCACCTGTAGATCGATTGCTTTGTTCCGAAACAGGGATTCAAATTATTACAGTGTTGCTTTTTATTCTTGACGCGGTTCGCTTTCACACAGCAAAGTTTCTAAACGGACCAAATTTGTTAAAGGGGTCCTCGCGCGAGTAAACTGTTCTCTCATTGGTCAAAGTTCCACGCTTTATTTTCCGGGATTCCACTTAGCGGTCACAGCTGTCATCTGTCAGAATGGAACAATAACAGCTTTGCGGGCTTATTGTTGGGTTTTTTGTAGCTGTCGTTAATAATAATTTATCATTTTGAGCAGGAGTCCAGCACCTACAAAGAAGAGCAATAAGACGGCATTATAAAACAAAGTGAGCTTTAATTTTTAAATGGCAAAGACGTGCTCACCCACAGACATTCACAGGTTCATTTTGAGGTATTAGCAAAACAACAAAGCTAATGCTTTTCACGGAACTTACGTAATTACTCATCATACATTGTGATATAGCCTGGTTCGTTGGTCCGTTAGATCGGATTGCGACTGAATTGTTTCTCACTACAACCGAACTGCTCCAGAGTTTGTTTTCAGTCGAGCCGAGACCACCTCGTTCAGGCGATCTCGGACCGATTGTTTTGGTGCGGATCCGGGCGCGATTGCCATGTTCACATATGCCCAAACGAACCGAGCTAAGGGGGGAAACGCGCCAGGTTCCGAAACAACAGGCCAGGTGTGAAAGCACCCTGAGTTGTTTGTAGTGCCTTAATTGCCCCTTTTTACCAGATATGCAGTGCAATTGCATGATGGGAGTTTTCCCAGAAATCTCCAGAGCGTGGCTCACCATCGATAATGACATTTTTATGTGGAATTATGAGGATGGGTGAGTATCGACACACTGGATGTCATTAAAGGGCACTTATTATGCTTTTTATTTTAAATGATTTTACTTTTCCTTTAACATGTAATATAGCTGTCTGTGTATGTAAACGGTCTTATGACGTGAGAAAAATGTGAGCTTTACATCATGTGAATGTTTTCCAGCAGACCCCGAAAATAAAATAAAATTGTAAATGAGCAGAATGTTGGCACTTTTAAATATTTCTGGTATTAAGTATTTCAGACACATGAAGTTCATTGATGTTGATTTGTCTTGTTCGTTTCTTCAGGAGTGATGTGGCGTATTTTGACGGGCTCAGTGAAACTATACTGTCAGTTGGACTGGTCAAACCTAAGCCAGGTTAGTTGGATTTTCTGTTGTGCACTGTTTAGTGCTCACTCTCAGAAGAAGTTGAGAATGTTCCGGATTGATTATTCAGATGTTTTATCAGTCATTAGCCAAAAACGTGTGTAATGCATCGCAAGATTTCCTTCGGGAGATTTTTAGTTTTCATAATTTGATGTTTTACCACTGATTGTTTTTATATTCCAAATATTGTATTGACATGGGTAGTCTTAGTTGTTACAGGTATTTTTTTTTATTCAATAAACAGAAATGATACACCTGAACTGAAATGTACAAACACTTCCAGGGTAATATTAAAGAGCATCAGCACAGAAGTGTGCATGTGAGTTAACAAGCAAAAAAAATAAAAAATACATATATACAGTGATGTGAAAAAGGTTTTGCCCCCCTCCTGTTTTTATTTATTTTTGCATATTTGTCACACTTGAATGATTCAGATCATTAAACTAATTTTAATATTACACAAAGATAACCTGAGTAAATACAAAATTTAGTTTTGAAATAATGATTTCATTTATTAAGGGAAAAAAGCTGTCCAAACCCGACTGGCACTATGTGAAAAAGTAATTTTATTTATTTTATATTGTGTGTGTGTATATATATATATTTATATATATACATACACACACAATATAAATTAACCATAAATTATGACTATGATTTAAAAAACAAATATAGTAATAATTAAAAACTTTAATAAAAAAAAAAAACAGAAACATTATTAAGGAGAGGAAAACTAAATGTGACTGATTCTTGAAACTATTTGAGAATATTTTTATTCTCAAATAGTTTCAAGAATCGGTCACATTTTTTATTACTAGTTGAAGAAAAATAAATGGAGAAGTGAGTCTACCTCAACCAACTACTTTTGTTTGTTACAGGTATTTTTCAGCCTCACATCCACTTCCTGTTAGTGTTGGCCACACCGGTGGATGTCGTGATCCTGGGCTTGAGCTTCCCAAAAGCCCATACAGGTGAGTGTCATGTTTGGATGTGATTTAATCAGCATTGGCACATGTATCGCATGTGATTGTCATGCGGCTTTTTTGACAAAACGTGTTTAGGGTTCAGATCGCGCTATATGCGGAGAATAATGCACGGCAATCAGCTCACTTTTATTTAAAGTGGCGTTTATCAGTTTTTGCAAATGAACTCTTCATATCTCGTTATTAGATGATATTTTGCTGAGTGTATTATTGTGCTGGTATCTTAAGGATTATTGTGGACAGCTGACTCCTAGAGTTTTTGATATTCTTCATATTCTGTGTGATGGTGATAGAAATTAATCTTTTTCAATAAGTTTGAATTGGTTTTTACCTTTATAAAGCCATTTTTTCTAAAAGTGTGCATCATCTTTTGAATCAAATTCTTACATTTAATCAGTCAATTAGAATAATAAGTATTAATTAATTGAATATAGAAGTAATTAATTTTTTGTTGGCGAAATAGTGCAAAAACAGGCAATGTGGTGTCTAAAACGTAAGTCTACGTATATGAACTTAATTATTGAACTGTTGTAAAAAATCAATGTCACATTTGTAATCATGGTAATATTTGGAGAAAAACGGAACTCTTTGTGTGAAATTGATTAACTATATGAAGTAGTATAAATATACACATTTTCTGCCCCCATATCTTGAATTTGTGATCATTCTAAATGTATTTTAATAGACTGAATCATGCAGTGAAAGAACGCACTCTAAATACTCGCAATAGTCTAGACTTCACGTAATGCATGCACTCTGTAGAGGTTTTGAATGGTTTTTGCAAAATACTCATACAAACATAATTACAAAATACAAATAATGTCAAATCGTACATCGTTAAAACAACAATTACGATATTATCGCAGACGATATATATCGCCCACCTCTATTTTGTAAGCCAAACTGAATGTTTCACTTTAAATCTTGTGGTTTGTTTCAGATCCTGTTGTCCAAATTGCTGTTGATAATTCAAGGAACATTTTATACACGCGTTCGGAGAAGGGCGTCCTGCAGGTGGGTGTCTTGACAGTGAACCAGAGACTGTGGTGTTTGTGATTTTTGATTGGTTTTAATGTGATTTTTGTGTCTGTCAGGTGTATGATCTCGGCGCTGATGGGCAGGGAATGAGTCGAGTCGCTGCTATGTCTCAGAGCTCCATCGTCTCAGCGGCTGGAAACATCGCCAGGTAGAGCTTCACCTGTGTTTTCTGTGCACTTATAGAAAATAGATTTTGGCTGATAAATAGATAGCTGATTAACCATTATAATATTACAATCAAAAATACTCAAAGGGATTAATGTGTTATTTTTGATTAAATTATTGTAAATATAAATTATTATAAATAAGTATTCATTTGCTTTTATTTGGCATTTTTTTTATATAATTTTAAATTAAAATATCATTATTAATAATAGTATTGTTGTTTATTTTTATAAAAAATCATTATATTCAATACATGTACAATTAATTTAAATAATAATTTAATAATTGCGTTATATTATTATTATTATACACAATTGTTAATAATAAATGTGCTGTTATTATTAATAATAAAATAATATTTATCATTATTTTAAATGTAAAATTAATTAGAAAATGCTAATATTGGTCAGTGCCAATATGGTCACCAATATATTGTTTTTCTTAATTTGTAATAAAACTATATTAATTATATTATTTAAATAAAATTATATTAATAAAAATTTATCATTTTTAATAAATGCAAAATTAAATGATCAACTTATTGTGCACACCTGGGTTTTCTTAATAAAAACAATTATATTAATAATTCATATTATTTGTTATTAATAATAAACGTATAATTCTTTAAATTCAAAATGAATTAAAATGGTCACCAATATACTGTGCGCTCCTAGTTTTTCTTAATAAAAATTATATTAATTATTACTAACATTTCATTTTAAAAATATTAAAAACTTTACATATAAATATTGTAAAAGTTGTACATTATTATTAATAATTCGTTTATCATGTTTCATAAATGTGAAATTAATAAAAAAAAAAAATTTCTTGTCAATACCAGTATGGTCACCAGTATGTTGCATGCACTCCTAATTTTTCTTAATTATTTATAATAATTAGATGATATTAATAATTATTTTTAAAAAATAAACATTTTGTTATGAATAAAAATGAAAATGCATTTTAAAAATGGTCACAGATATGGTCACCATTATATTGTGCAATCCTGCTTTTCATGTTAAGTTTTCCTGTGTAATGCATTTTTCACCTCAAATGCATGTCTTTGCCTGTTTTTCAGGACGATCGACCGCTCCGTGTTCAAACCCATTGTTCAGATCGCAGTAATTGATCGCCCAGAGTCGTCAGACTGTCAGCTGTTGGCCGTCACTCATGCTGGTATGATTTAGAAATGGAGACTCCAATGCATCTTGGGTCTGTATCTTCTCTAAAGGCCGTTTCGCACGGAGTGCGATGCGAAAAAGCGAGGCGAATTGCTGAGGAATGTTGCTTTCACGCGATTAATCGCCTTCTGCTAATTCAAGCCTGCATGCTAGGTGGCGCCAACCAGCAATGCATTTTTCCTCATGTAGCCTAAGTATCTCGTATATGGCTTTTACTTCGTCCACTGCTCAATATACAGCATTACATTTAGGGTGTATTCACACCTCTCTTGTTTGGTTCGATTGAATCGAACTCAAGTTCGTTTTCCCCTCTTGGTGCGGATCTTTTGGGCAGGTGTGAATACAGTAATCGCACTCGAGTGCGGACCAAACAACCGCACCGAGACCCAGCTGAAGAGGTGGTCTCGGTCCGCTTCCAAACGAACTCTGGTACGGTTCATTTAAGGTGTGAATATGACCCGACCTCGATCCGACCCAATTGCAGAAATCACGCTCAGAAACAGACAGCTCGCGCATATAGTGCTGTTATTTGCGTTTCAATGGCTTAAATCACTTGTTTTTAAACCACAATGCTTAAAAACACATGCAAATGATGAGTTTTCGTGACAATGGCGCACAGCAACGTGACGTGACCACTCTAAATAGGCTAAAGCTTGCCGCAAAAGTTATATGTTGGGGGGAAATAGTAAGGAGATATTTGAATAATTTATTAATAAACTAGTGTTTTCTGAGTCAGTGTCGCAAAAATGAAATTGACGATCCTGACTCGCCATCTCATCATTGGACGTGCCTTTAGAAAGAATGGACTTTCCTGGTGTGAATACACCCTTAGATAAATAACTTTTGGTTCTTCATCAGCACAAACTATCCATAATGCTTAGATGAAAATATAATTGGAGGTACAATTAGCATCAAGCTACATTTCAAAATGTATGTAATGTTTTTGCTCAAACCACACTTTAAACCATCATCGAGTGCTTGTAATAACTTCTGATTGTGATCTAAAATGGATTTTGATTCTATAATAGGCAGACATGCACTCTTTGTATGTTATAATGGACTGAACGCTACCTGCTGCTTGTCATTTGTCATAAACATTCTTTATTGTTATAAAAATACTATGAGCTGCATAAAACATATACAGAAAGTATATTGTATGAATATAAATGTATCTATGTTCAGACACCAACGACAACAACATCTCGTGTGTGGAAAGGTCTTAAATTGTGTTTCTGTGTGTCGTGCAGGTGTGCGTCTTTACTTTAGCACCATCCCTTTTGCTCCTCCGAACGCCAAACACATCTCGGCCCGGCCCTGTGTGCTGGTGCTGGTGCATGTGCGTCTGCCACCCGGATTCTCTGCGTCCTCCACCCTCCAGAAACCGGCTAAAGTTCACAAGGCTCTCTACAGTAAAGGAGTTCTGCTGATGGCCGCGTCTGAGGCAGAAGACAGCGACGTTCTGTGGTGCATCAACCACGATTCCTTTCCCTTTAAAAAGCCCCTCATGGAAGCTCAGGTCAGAGATGTTATTTCCTCTTCCTGTCCGGCTGGTCGTTTCTTCATTTGTTTGTCGATTGTTTTAAAAAAAAAAAATTTTTTATGGAAGCTTGTTTCCACCATGGAATAGTTTATATTTCTCAGTTCCCACTTTTTTTTATCCTCACAGTTCTGAGAAGAAAATCCGAATAGTGAGACTGTATAACATGGAATGTCGTGTAGTTTTTCAACTTGAAATTGTGACATAAATATATTACTATGGTACAGTAGAATATGTCTTAATGTAGTAATAATAATAATAATAATAATAATAGTACTAATGATAAATTAAATTAAAAAAAATTTTTTTTTTTAAGGAATAATCCAATTGTTTTCATCCATGTTTTAATTTTAAGAGTAAACATCTGTTATGCAGCACTTTGCTTGCCAGAAAATTAAAGGGTTTGTTTAATTGACTAAAAGATACTTTTTTTTTTTTTTTTTAATGCTTTCATTTGATTGCATGAAAATAATTTAAGACAAAATGTGTTTTACTGAGAAAAAACAAGATTTGGTTTTTAAAAAGACTTTTTCCTAAAGGTACATCTGTAAAAAGGGGGGTCGTCTTATAATCAGGGTCGTCTTATATTCGGGCCAATACGGTACTAGTACTTAACACAACATTTCTGGAGGAAAAACAAACATTTCATAGTGCCGTAAAAATTTTATTTTTGTTAGAATTGTTATAAATTGTTGCTGTATAAGTTTCATTATTTTAATTAATTAGATACTTTTTATTACAAAAAAAAATAGAAGTTAAGTTATTTTTATCATTTAAATTAATTAGACATACTTATTGAAATTGTGATTATTAAAATTTTAATTAAACCATTAAAATTGAATTTTGGTACAAAAAAAAACATAGTGCACTAAAAATTGTTTTTTTTGTTCAAATTTGAATAAATTGCTTTATTTTGTGCGTTTCATGATTTTAATTAATTAGACCGTTTTTGATTACTAAAATTAAATTTAACCATTAGAACAGTCAATAAATATCAAATTGGAATCCAGAAAAAATAAAAGGGGGAAAAAAATTATTTAGAAAAAAAACAACAACTGAAATTAGGTAAAAATAGATTTGTGAGATGAAAAGTCACGATCACCTTTTTTATTTTTTATTCTGAGGCAGAAACTAAAAACAGAATTGCGAGAAAAACTCGTAATTCTGATTTTATATCTCGCAGGTAAAAAGTCGCAATTGACTTTTTAATTTTTCTATTCTGTGGCAGAAACAGGCTTCTATAGATTATCGCGACAACACACTGATGTCTGTGTTTTGTCTCTTTCTCCAGATGACGGTGAATGTGGACGGTCACTCGTGGGCTCTGTGTTCAATCGAGGAAACCAAATCTCCCAGAATCCTCACTCCTCTCAATAAAGATCTCATTCCAGTCACTGACTCTCCTCTGGTCGTTCAGCAGCACAGCGTCCCGCCGCAGACGTTTGTTCTCCTGTCCGCTCAGGTATGATTGAGCCTCTCGTTGTGATGTGCTTCATGTTGTTCTTCTCTCACGGTTTGTTTCCCGTCTTCAGGGGAGTCACATCTTCCACAAGCTGCGGCCGGTGGATCAGCTGCGCCACCTGCTGGTGAGCAGCGCTGGAGGAGAGAGCGAGGAGATCGAGAGGTTCTTCAAGCTGCACGGGGTGAGTGACGGCACGTTTAATCTTTGAGACACATCTATTCAGACACCTTCAACATTTCTCACATTATCACGGTTTATTCGCTATAGTTTAGAAAATGGGAATAAAATATGAGTTAAACTGTGTCAGAACAAATTCATCTTGATAATGTCAGATAACTTTGATAGAAAGGTATGTAATGGATTACAATCAACCAAAAATTATTCAGCTGTTAATTTAAAGGGTTAGTTCACCCAAAAATGAAAATTCTGTTCCAGAACGTAATCAGCGTTGTTTACGTTCATCTTGCGCGCGATAACATTCTGGGGTACTCTCCAAAAATGGCAGAAGACGGTAACTCGGGGAGAAGAATTGTTGAATAAATTATTATTGTTTTCTTTGCGCACAAAAGTATTCTCGTAGCTTCGTAAAGTTACAGTTGAACCGCTGATGTCACATGGACTATTTTAACGATGTCCTTGCTTACGTTTCTGTGCGTTGATCGTGTTAATATCCTTGCTGTCTATGGAGGGTCAGAGAGCTCTCGGATTTCATCAGAAATATCTTAATTTGTGTTCTGAAGATGAACGAAGGTCTTACGGGTTTGGAACGACACGAGGGTGAGTAATTAATGACAGAATTTTCATTTTTGGGTGAACTAACTACAATTAGATAATATCAATTTAGGTCAACCAATTATCAAGCAATGCTTAATTTAGTTTAGTCTGTGGTGTAAAAACGCCGCATTAGCAATTAAAGAAAAAACACTTCAGCAAAACATGGTCTTTTTGGACTTTTTGGTCCCAAATTTTTATCAATTTTACAGGTAGTCCACTGTAAAATTTATAAAAATTTGGGACCAAAAAGTATTCAGACACTTTGACCTGACCTGACCGAATCGAGCATCATATCAGAAATTTAAAGGTATTCATCATGGCAACCCGTCAAAATAAAAGTTCGGTTTAACTTGAAGACATTGTGCCAGAAATATATTACTATTGTTCAGTAGAATGTATATAGCCTACTACTACAAGTGCTAAAATTATTCAAACTTTGTTTTAAGGAATAATTACACAACATTTCCATGTTTTAATTTTAATAGTAAATTCCCTTTGTTTGCCAAAAAAAGTTAAATTTTCAATAATTAAAAGATACATGAAATTAATGTTTTATGCCTTCATTTGATAACCAGAAAAATTTAAATACACAACAGAATTTCTGAGAGAGAAAAAAAAATTCATAAGGCTATTTTAAGAATAGATTTCAATAAATTAAGTTGTTTTTATGCATTCAAATGATTAGACATGCTAAAACTAAATTTGGTAATAATAAAACTTTTAAGGTGAGAAAAAACAAAACATTTCATAGGGCCCTAAACATGTAATTTTTGTATAATTGTATAAGTTTCATGATTTTAATTAAGACATGCTTTTTGATTAATAAAAGTTGATTTAACCATTAAAAAGGAGTCCAGAAAAATTAAAACGGGGAAAAAATGGAATCCAGAAAAATTTACATGGAAAAAATAAAATGGAATTCATAGGGCTCTACAGGGCTGTACAGTGTGACATATATGTATTTATATATATTTATATATATATATAAAACTGGTCTGTGCGATGAATAAATGTACCACTGTAGCACGCATGCGATACAGTTTTGCATGTTCATAACACAGCCGCTTAATAGTGTGAAGTGATTTCTTGTGCTTGTTTGTGTGTGTGAGATTGATTATACTTGGTAGTTAGGGGTGTGCGATATGACGATTTTTGATCGTGGACGATTAAAATGTCTCCACGATCTGCTTTTGAAGAAATATCGTTGTATCGTGCTACAGCGCACATTCTATCAGCTGCAGTTCTGGCGCCTCCCTCCGTCTCAATATAATGTACAACGCCACATGCATTCACATCAGTGTTAGCTCAGCGGTAGAGTTACTCTCACGGGACACTGCACTTATGCGCAGTCACAAAACTACATTATTTCCATCTACTTTAAAGCAATACCGGTTAAACCTTTAATTCACGTGCTGTTCTGCATGCGCTTTTTCTGAGCGCGTACTCATGAAGCGCCACTGAGAGCCTGTCAAAAAGCGCCTGATTATTGGACTAAGTTGTCTTTCGCGTCTGATTGATTTAGCGTCTAATACTGTCAAAAACACACAAGGTTTACATATTGTAAACAGTTGGTTTGTCTAAAATGAAAGTAAACAGTTGAGAGAGAAACGTGTGCAGCTCTTAAAGGGCCAGTAGCTACTAAACATGCTGCCGACTGTCATTAAAGGGATAGTTCAGTCCCAAACAATAATTTCTGTCATTATTTGCTCACTCACATTTTGTCCCAAACCTGTATTAATTTCTTTCTTGTGCTGAACACAAAAGAAGATATTTTGAAGAATGTGAGTAACCAAACAGTAGCTGGTCCACACTGACTTTTACAGTAGGAATAAAATACCATGGAAGTTACTGTGGACCAGCAACTGCTTGGTTACCCACATTCTTCAAAAATAAGACGAAATAAATTAATTCAGGTTTCAAACAACTTAAGTAAATGATGGTATAAAAATGAAACACTATGACGGAATTGAATTTTCATTTTTGGTGAACTATTCTTTTAATGTTAATAAAACAACAAAACACAGAAAAAAAGTATAATTGATGTATGTAGAGTATATAGTGTTTTATTTTAATATTTGTTCATTAAATTTCTTGAATGTTACTGCTAAATACTGTACCTGAAAAATAAAGCACTGTTTGTTTTATTTGTATATTATGTGTATTTGTAATGTATATCTTTGTTCTTATTTTGTAATAACAAAGATAAAATAATGACAACGATTTTTATCTTTGCTCACTTTGGCCTAAATGTCTGCCATTCTTTTTTATTTTATATTTTGTTAAGGTGTAAGAGGTGTTATGTTTCTGCAATCTTCCATTTTTAGCAAATTAAGAAAACTTTGTCTAAAAACAATTTTTTGTATTTTTTGTGCTCTGTATGGAACATCAGTGCCTGTTTAAGTGATGAACTCCATTACTTGTGTTTGTTTCAGACATGATAACAGACGTTTTATACTTGTGCTACAACTTTTTGGCCTGTGCTACAAAACTTTCAACCTCTGTAGCACCAGTGCTATGTGAAAAAAAAGTTAACGTACAGCCCTGCTCTAATATATAGATGTTTTCCTGTACAGGAAGGGCAGGCGTGTGCCACGGCGCTCATCTTGGCCTGTTCCTCAGCAGCGTGTGATCGAGAGGTTTCTGTATGGGCCACACGAGCCTTCTTCAGGTCAGATATGAAGTTATATAATTGTTCTTTCCCAGGCTTTTGATGATATTTGTGGTTGCTTTGAAATGGCTTAAAGGGTCTTTTTTTTAAGTTAGAGCAACCATCGTTTCATTTTTAACGGTCCTTGTAGCCAAATAGTTTCAAAATGTGTAAAGAATCAAATATATTAAAAAAACAATTAAAATTAAATTAAATTTATAATCAGTGTTTTTCAAGTCAACACAAGGAATATCTATTTACATTTTTTTTCTGTATTATTTGCACCAGTATAACAACAAACAGCGATATGATTAACATACATGCATTTTTAAAGGGGTCATATGATGCGATTTCAAGTTTTCCTTTCGGACAATTTGAACCGATTTTTAGTTTATTTTTTTTAGTAATTACAGATTTAGAAACACAAAAAAGCTTTTTATCTTTTGTTTTTATTTTGTTGTAACTACAGTTTTGGAATATTTCTACAGTAATGCTTTATTTTGTTTTTAATAATTTTTTAATAATGACAATTAAGGATTTTTACAAAAATCTTTTTATTAATTGTTTTTGTTTCTTTTATTTATTTTATTTAAACCTTTTGTTTTATGTTGCTATTTTACATGATTTCTGAATGTAATAAAAAATAGAAAAATGTCACTCATACACCAATGTGACTTTTCAGTCTTTGTTTTTATTTTATTTATGTATTTTTTTATTTGAACAATTTCGATCCAGTGCAACACATTTTCCGTAAAATACGATACATTTGATCAGTTCATTAAATGGCTAAATAAAATGTGCCTTAAACCACTGCAATATTCATTTCACAAATCATGATGTTTCTTTTATATGGGCAACAAAATCGTCATGAATATATTGTGAGTATTTGATGTTGCACAGCCTGTTTTGACATTATTAATAAAGAAGGTATTTTTATGCAGGTACGGTGGAGAGGCTCAGATGCGTTTCCCATCTGCCATTTCTGCCCCCAGTAACGTCGGCCCGCTCTTCAGCTCCCCTGTACCAGGTGACTAACATCTCAACCCGCCACGCTGATCATGTTTTAACCATTAACCATGTCGAATCACTTACTAGTAGCTGGTTGTTCATGTGTCAGTGTCAACTAATGTCTAATCTGTAGTCTGCTGTGATTGTAGGATCCCCAATGTCTGTCGGCAGCCCCCTACCAAACCCCAGTTTTCTTGCCACACCTGCGCCAGGTATAAACCACCCCTCAGACCAGCGACCGCTTCACTAATCTGTCTCTACTAGTATAGTGGATCTTACTAATGGGGTTTGATGGCCATCTAGTGGAAAAGCTTGGTACTACGCCCAAACAAAATCTCACTTGAATGCTCATTTTTTGAGATATCAACCTCAAATTTGGAACATAACCTGTTAAGAATTTTGGTTTTGATTTTTTAGAACCAGAGTAAAACATGTTTTGTAAAATATATATTTTATATAAAATATAAATATTTAAATTATTAAATTTTATATTTTCATAAATTTAAACTTCCATAACTTTTTTGTTATATAATCTTTATAACTTTTTCCACTTCTACAATAATCTGCCAAGTGTCTTCTTTGAAAATGCAAACATTTACTTACCCTCAGCTCATCCAAGATTAGGATTAGTTTGTTTCTTCATCATATTTGTCATATTTGT